AAAAAGCCAAGGTCAAATCCTAATCAGAGTCCTATCTAATCTAAGAGGTCTATTAACGACTGAAAGTAGTGATCAACAGGAAAACAAACATTATCTCATTTTCCTTGGGGGGGGTTGGGGGGGGAAATCCTTTTTTCAGACTGTCCCCTCTCAATATTGCAGATGTGAGTTTATCTTACTAACGAGTGTCAAAACAAATACACACCGTAAGGAACTAAAGCAACGGGGAAAATTGAATCCTTTTTGCTCATGAATTTCAAATAATCTTACAGAACAGATCTGCATGTGCTTAGCTGCCAGCTGATGTATTTGGAAACCAAAACCAAACCACTGATAAAGCAGAGAGACTTCCTCAGTGGCAGCATTCTCCACTTGATACTGCAGGACTCAGCTTTTTTTGTAGCCTTGAAAGACAAAGTTCTAACGCTGCTATGACTAATCTCGGACGCCACCAAGTTAGAACTAGTTTATTGCTTTTGCTTCATGAGGTGGCCTTATAAAGCCAACCCACAAGCTGTAGTGCTAAGCTGGAGAGAGGCCATCAGTTAAAGTTGGCCTTACGTTCAGTGAAGCTAACCCCTGCTTGAAAATAATGCAAACCCTGCTTTAAACCAGCTTGCTCCCTTTGCAGATTTACCTATGGTTTAACAGCAGGAGGCTACTAGCCACTGCGTGCTGAATGAAAGCATGATTAGCTCTTGTAGCCTTGACACGTATCTAATCTCAGTGTCCAGATAGTGAAATTCTGCTATCTGACAGTACCCCGAGTGCTGCACGGCGTTAGCAGACCTTTGACACATGCTAGTGCTACACAGCACAACCACAGGACATTACTGAAGGAACATAACCTCCCAAGATGGTTCTTTTTCCTGCAATTAAATGGAACTTGACAGGGCTTCTCCCCCTCATGTTGCCCCGGACAGAGGTTCTACCAAATTACCTTCTAAAAATAGTTATATTCGTAATTCTAGTTAAAGAGCTCACACAACTAAAACATCTGAGACACCTTCTACCATCAAAGTACTGTTGTCACAAAAGCCAACAGAACCTAGCCCATACTCCCCAGAGTCCTGTTTTCCAAGTCAGTTCCTAAAATTTTTTCTGATTATGAGGGGTTTTTAATATAATTTATGCCCAATGCTATTTTAAGTATTTAACAGCTATACAGTGCAGTACTTGAACAAAGAGCTTGATAAAAACAAACATTATGTTGCTGAAAGTAAAGCCAAGCAAGTTTGTTAGCTTTTGATCTCCATGACTTAAAGTGAACTTAAGAAATGTGGGACAAATTCGCTAAAATCTATAGATACCGAATCTGCTGGCTAGCAGCCCTAGATTGTGGTGTACTGATATAAATTTCTTGGCTTAAATACATTTTCTTAATCAATGCTGGAGAATCTTTAATTTCCTAGTTTGAAATTAACCGAAAAGTTAGAGTTGCCACCTCTCACCAAGGTCAACAGAGTGCCAGGAAAAAAAAAAAAAAAAAAACGAAACCAAAACCAACCCACAGAAAACCCCAAACAAACCCACACTTATTTAGTAAATTGAAATTAAATGCAGGGAAAGAAAAATTGTCCATGTTATCTAAAACAGAGGAGGTAGTTTTCCAAGTTACTTTGAGATCAGTATCACATGAATACCTGCACAGGTAATAAAAGGAAAACAAATACAGAAAGAAAAGCTTGGAATAGAAAGGTTAATATTTAAAAAAAAAAAGTCTAAACTGGAAGAAGGGAAAGAAAAAATTTAGTAAAAAGTACATAAGCCTTCCAACAGCCATTTTGAATCATGTTATGGCAGGGCCTTAGAAACATGGTTTTGTTATGGAATCTATTAGAAATTAAACTTTGTGGTAAGAGAAAGGCAGGAGACTAACGGGGCCTGCTTGAATGTAAAATGTCTTTGGGAAAAAGGCAGGCCAGATACCAGCCAAGACACCAAAAAAAATAATCGAGTTTAGCTTCTCAGAAGAATCCCCAGGATACTGCCACAATTACCATTTCCCCAGTTATAATCAGGCTGTTTCAGAAGAATGGTATCTGTGGAAAGCAAGCCCTTTGTAACCTCACACAGAATGACAGAGCAAGGAGAGAAATATGAGATCAATTGCAAAGAGACCTCAGCCACTTCCCAGTTTTTCTTCCTGGCAATCACCCCGGCGGTCCTGTGGCTCTGCTGGGTTCACCTTCCCGCTGGTCTCTGGCTGAACTATGAAGAAAAAGGCGCTGCAGCACATGTGTACCATTCGTACCATTTCACTCTGGTATCACCTTACACAATAGCTTTGTATAAATACAGCTTTAGGGACTCCTTCTTCAATTAACCCCAATTACTGTATTTTTGCTGCCACCAGAAGTTAACTCTCTCTTAAAACTTGACTCTTACCTTCAAAGAACTGCTGCAAGGCCTCATTTTCTCCCACCACATCCATGAAAAGCCAGTAGAAGTGGTTTGCTTTCCTGCTGCTTGAGGAGTCCCACTGTCTCTCTTCCAGATGACTACGAACATGTCAAGGAACACATCATGCCTTTGTCAGAAGTTTTGATGATTTTTTCCCAGCTGATTTCGTTCCTTCCTAACTAGAGCCAGGGCTACACTTCAACTCTGCTACACCTAAAGGAGAACCTGACAAGGCTTTTGAGCCAAGATGAAGGTGATGTGCGTTCTTTCGTTCAGTATGTCCGGTGTTCCTAAGGACCTTTGGTCCCAGTACTAACCATAATTACACATGCGCAAAAAAATGTGGCAATAAAAATTACTTATCTTGTCTCTGTACTTTCACACAGGTGATGTACTTAATACTACTGATGAAAGCAACAGTAATCAAAAATGCAAGAGCAAAGCCCTACCAGTTTCGCTGTATGTACTAACCCATTTAAGAAGTTGAGCTTCAGACTGTACAACTGCTCTAAAAAAATTATCTCACAGTAGTTTGATTATAGGGAAGCAGAACTACATTATTATTGTTAACAAAACTAAATTACAGATTAACCTGTTTGTCTGAGGTAACATTGAAAAACATATGGGAAAGTTGAACATTGAACAAAGGTCTTTTAAGCCTAGTAGCGAATTCTATATCCATTTCTTTAAATTGATCTTTGTACACTGAAAATTGCTCCTGTTCTGTCACCCCTAAGCAAACAGGAGGAAAAAAATATTCAGTCATTTTGAGTAGGCATCTGTAAGAAGCATTTGCTTGTCAACAAAAGCTTCAATGAAGAAGTCTGGGAGTAAGGCCATTTGCTGAAATAGTTGTATTCAGCAGAAAACTAACTGTTGCAGTTCTTACAAGCCCCAGACACTCAGAGCAATACAGGTTTCTCGTGATAGGCAGCTTGTATTAAAAATACAGAAAAGAATTTTGGGGAAGGGACTTGAAGACAGAAGCAAGCCAATCAGTATTTACACGATGTTGATGTAATCTAGCCAAACAGTCACTACCACTGAGATATGCTGGGTACATCTTTGTAGTCCCTGGTATGAGAAAAGCACCTCAGCATAGTAACCTTTAGGTATCATTTATGTCTTGACGCTATCATGTACGGAGAGGACTCCTCCTCTCTGCTTGAGTGAACAACACTTATACAGGATTATTAAGGCAGAACAGCAGCAGCTACCAGCTATCATTGAACTAGTTTTAGCTAATCTGAGCAACAGTTTGATTTCATTATGTAAACTAAGGATTAATAATCATTTAAGGAAGTGTTTATGAGGCTAACATAAGACCAACAAACGCAGTTTGTTTTCTAAGTGAGTAAAACCAGACTTCCTTAGCATTACTTGAATAATAAACAGCCTTTTAACAACTGAAGGTAGAATTCTTCCAGATTTCTACAGTAGGAACTAGTACCCAGTGACAGGAGACTGATAAAAATTTCTTCAGTACTGAAATAGCCCAGGCTGGACATATTCCACTAGTAAAATACGTTCAATTGTTTGTTTCCATGTTAAGATAGAAATGCCTGATCAAAGCCAACACTTGCAAAGTGTTTTCAGGCACATATATGTGCAAGCAACACAAGTATGGTTTTAAATTTCACTGCTCATTCTATTTACTTTTGTAAAATGGAGAACACTCCAATAAGACAGTGATGAACAGTGTTATTTTTGTTCTGCATCAAACAAAAGAAATCTGCATCCACTGAGATGCTTCTTCTTGAAGAACCAACTATATAAACTTGCCTTTACTTCTAATGTTTGTCAGTTTACCTGCCAATACTTTAATCTTATCTGTAATTGATAAATGGCTCTCATGATCACAACCTAGTGTTTTTCCAAAAGGGCTTTTATGTACCGAGTCTACCGCATACCCACGAATACGTTCCCTGTAACCTCATCAACTGCTTTCAGCTTAGACTATGCTCAGGAAAGAAGGACCACTTGAAGTGCAAAAGTTGCAATTGAACAGAAAAAGCATCTTCCTTAAGACGCCATGATCTTTTTTTGGGTTCTCTTCATAGCAAATTGCGTGTGTGAAGAAACTGCTAACATTATATGGAAATTATCAGCAGTATGTTAAAGACATCATGTAATGACTATTTTCCAATTTGAAGAACAGCTGTGGGAAACTGATGTATAAAACATTGAAAACTGGAAATACCAAAAAAGTAGGAGAAAAATAAATCATTTAAAGGAATGAAAAAATCCTAATGTTTTTAGCAGTCAGATACAGACCAGGACAGACTCCTAACCAAAGAGTGACCAAGGTAATTCTATTGTTCACTAATATAGTCACTATACATGTTTATCTTCTTACGTTGTTTTAAAAATGAAAAATGTAGGAAAGCAGCACTTGAAAGAATTCCAAGTTCTCCTAGTTGTCTGTTAACTATATTGACATACACACAGAGAGATACATACATATATTTAAACACTACAATGAAGAAAACATCAGCCATTTACTCCCTCTTCATAAAATCATCTCAGTTTTACATTTGGGAATGACTTACAAGGGAGGTTCACAGCATTCTACATGAGAAAGAACAGAAGACAGACACTGCTTCAGACTAACACTTTAATCAGAAGTTTTGTTTTTAAATGTAAATTACAATCACTAATACACTTGCAAGTGCTTACCACGTTTGTTCAACTAATTATTATATGTACGCATATACAGCAAAAGTCAGTTTAAACCAATCACAGTACTTCTTAGTGCAATCTGCAAAAGGAGAAAGATCTTGGACCCACTTTGTGGAAATAAATATCAAGTGACAAAAAAGGATTCAGCCATTTTAGTTATGTATATTCAATGAAGTTCATGCATGCGCAAGAGTAAAAAGATTTAGAGCTCTTCCTTGTAATAGCCCAGTTTTGCTAGTGACATCTCTCTTCTCAGCTGCATAACTTCCCAGAACATCTGATCCACTAAAAAAAAAAGACAGAAATATCGTTAAACATACTGAATTCATATTTTATTTCAACTGATGTAAATGGGCTGCCTCACTGTACATCAGTGTAGGAGAACTACAGAAGTAATAAACATCTAGTAGAACCAGAATTAATGTGAGGGCTATTTGTGCTTGGGTGTGACAAAATTTGTTGAAGTATTTATTTTAAAAATTCTAAATGATGGTCCTGTAAAAAATTCCCCAAATTTTAGACAATTTTTAAATTGGTGAACAAAAATACATCAGCACTTCTTGTCAGCTTCAATTAATCGCTGTTTCTCATTTTAATTGCCCTGCCCCTTGACTCATTTTCTGTAAAAGACTACAAGAAAAAGTAGAACGTGTGAACTGCTTCATCACAGAATCTGTAATCTTGTTGTAATTTTTCCACTTGTAATTTTACTTCTTCCCTCTTTTTTCTACCACTAATCTGCCACCAGCAATATACTGCTAAACTTGATAAGCCCAGTGCATACCTGAAGCTTCTGGACATCACAGCAATACAAATCAAAATTGAGCATACAATTATTCAAGACAAAAATAACTTCCATGCAGTCAAGATCATGATGTAAAATGACTACAAAGATTATTAACCTAACCAACAAGTACAAGGTCTTCCCAACCATGTTTCAAAACCCACTTTTGTAAGTGACCTCTGTCTCAAAAATTATATGGTGCATGAGGAGAAATACATACAATGCATTATGCAATCATTATGAGTGCCTACGTTCTTCTAAACATATTGTTGAAATATTTACATAAAGCTAGAAATGCAAATTCTCTGGTTTTTAATGGTAAAGATGACAATTGAGCTGAAACACCAAACTCAAGTTTTTTTTCAAAACTTCTTCTGAAGAATAAGTAATTCTGATAAGGCTGAGAACATTTTATTATTTGATGGGAAAAAAATATTAATTTCTTTATCTCAATAGAAAAGTGAACAATTTTTAGTTGAAACTATATAGGTCTTTTTGGTCAAAGAAAAAGCCTTTTAACTATAAACCAAATTAAAACTTAAATAACACATTTTCAAGATCTTCTGCAATGCTAGTACATCCATAAAAATTACCACCATCTGAAGGTTTTATTAAACAATTTAGTATATGTAATAGGTGAATTTTTGGTAAATTCCATGAAAATAATTCCCTTTGACAAAGAAAGTTAACAGCGTTATTTTTTGTAAGGAACAATCTCTCTATTTATCACCTCAGGAATACTTCAGGTTAGAAATGGAAAGAAAATATTTGGGTGTAGTTAAATACTGAGCTCTTGAAATTGGGAAATATCAGAAGAGATGACTATAGGTGAGGTAAATCAAAGTGGGGCTAATTCTAGCCAAATTCTGGATGAAGCCAATCCACACAGACTCAAAAACTGGAAGAATAAAAAGCACAGACATCCATAAACATTACAATGCTGGTTTAATCTACTTTCAAAAATGCAACTGAACTAAAAAAAAAGTTAACAGTGAAAGCCATTTTTTTAAATTAACTGTCAACAGAGGGCTAATGACATTTTTTCTGTTATCTGCTTAGGAAATCCAGGAGCCTAAGTCTGATATGGTCTGTTTCAAAAAAACCTTGGACTGAAGGCTGTTGGGCAACATTCTTTGACCTGGACAGGAAATACAATTAAATCAATTGTGTACAGTTTAAATACAATCAAATCATCATCATTTTCTTTTAGTGATAAACAGGTAAAGTAGTCTCACAAATGAAGACAAATAACTACAAATCTATCATGCAATATATTTTTAAATTCCAGAATTAAGTAACTAGGCGTACAGTGCGTACATTTTCATAACCATCTTCTTTTATATGGACATATTGAAACTGAATAGCACAGTTAAGCAAATTTCTGAATTACTGCACAGAGTTTAAATAGGCAGTTGTTGGATATGCTAGCCTGACAGGAACAAAGTGATGAGGTAACTCGGGTGAGGAAAAAAAGCAACCAAACAAACCAAACCATCCTGAAGCAATGACAGTAAAAAACACATGTATCTTTTGGGGTGGGGAGTAACCAAGCCTTAGATGCATTTATAACCACAGCTCTAAAGAGACTTTGCCATGCCACAGCAATGACCAAGACCTCATTTCTCAGCTGCACTCAGATGAACAATTACAGTATGGTTCCCTGTTTACTTTTTTCACAGCTTAACTCAAAATATTGTCATCCTTGCCAGTTTTCCCTGAAAGGTAGTCTGACAAGAAGTGCTGTCTGAATTCTCAATGCACAAAATGAGAAGATGCACCAATGCACCCTGTGAAAAGAAAAAACGGCCCAGATCAAACAAAACTGAAGTCAGTTTGGTCTAAAAATATCTACATCTTCTGTCAAAGAGCCTTGATTTTTCAATACTGTGTAGAAAAACTCTAACTCCTCTTGTTATGGAATTCTTCACAACATTTCTTACTGAATAACATAAGGCAGTTTTAGATGGACTAAAAATCACTGCTTCATAATTTGTTGTTCTTTAAAAAAAACCAACTTCATTGGAGGGTGGGATATCACCAAAGTCTCATAATTACAACCATCACTGCCAACAGATAGCTTTCCTGTGATGACACGTCACTGCTACTGTGCACAGATAGCAAGTTTTAGGCACACGCACTATGTAAATGTCTATATATGCCAAATACAATTTCCTACTCACCATCTTGCTGCTTCAACAGTCCTTGCTGGATGTATCGAATATACGTAAAGAAGTTACACACAGAAGTGATCTGAACCCATATAAAAGTAATGGTGGTTAGTATCATTTTGTGTAATGGTATGGAGAAACAACTAAATAACTACTACTCAAAATGAAGTCACATTATATCTACTTACCCTGTAACGACAGAAAGGAGAAATGTAGTAATAACTGCTTGAATCTCCTAATTTGATTCTATGCTTGCATGACTTACTTTGTCCGCTGAGAGCACATTTCCTACAAAATAGAAAGTTTGCATGATTTAATAAACAAATCCAACATTAACATCTAAACACCTGCATGCATTTTAGGTGTTAATGTAATTGCTTCATATTGGCACAGATACCCAAGTGCCTGCCTTCATTTTACAAGTTGCAATTATTACATTATGTTGTCAATTATTTTAGTTCCACAAGGACTAATTTTGTTTCAATACCAGTGCATCGTGATGCATTTCTGATTTTACAACTTTCTTCAGCTCTGGCGTGTACTTCCATATTCACTAATTCAGGCTGCCTTGACAAGTCTTGAACAGTGGGATTTCTTTAATTAACTCTTCATATGTGAAATAAACATTGTTTAAACTATCAGTTGATGCCAACATTTAAACAGATTTTTAATACAACATCTGCTTGATGTTGTATTTTATCATAAAAAATATCAGCCCTACAAAATAGCAGTCAATTCTCAGAACGTGTTTGAGAGTGGCTTCAGAGACCAGCTTTGCATTCATACCCAAATTAAAATAATATTTTATATTCAGAGTATAAAATAATTTGAGACAAAGGAAAATAGGCTGTCTAGAAATAATTCCTTACATTACCATTATAAAAAGTGATGGTAAAATAATCAAGTTTACTGCTTTTGGTGTATCACAAGTATGTCGTATTCAGGAACAAGGAAAGGTCAGTACTCACCACAAATTCTTCCCAAAAAACAATTCAGGAAAAGGCAAACAACTTTAAAGTAAGTTTCCTCCAACATTCTTTAGAGAAAGGTTTGAATCTCTTGAAGAAACCACTACTAGTACAATCTTAATAAATGTAAATAAAACAGGAATTTGATTTACTTGGAATTTTTCTATTGTAGGATCTCAGATGAACTGGGTTGTCATGGCATCCACCATTTCATTGATTTTAAAAGCTGCTGGCTCTTCTCCCTTCCATTTCTACCTCACAAAATTAGCGAGTCTAAGAACAAGCAGCCTTTCAAAAGTGAAACGAAAATTACTAAGCTTCTGTGGTTCTAAACAGTGGCTCAGAGGCCCTTGTAAAGAGCCTGCAGCTGGTCCCCAGAACTATGTAAGACAGGAGAAAATTGAAGTGTGTATGTGATTTTCCACAGCAATTTATGAGGACTGACAACAGACCATTGATCCAAGAAATCCTACAGTAGCTGAAGCAAGCTGATCGCAATTTCACTCAAGCTTTTGTGAGAAGACAGACAGACTTTCAATGCTAGCCATTTTTTCCTTCTGACTATAAGAATTACCTTCTATATGTTATCTTCCATCACACCAGGTTAAATGCCGGCATGATGGTTACTACTAATGACTCAGTTCTGCACTGTACAGCACACATGCAGCTTAACACTTTGTTCCCTATGGGGACAATTATTTGAATCCTGTGGTGAAGCCCAGCTGTCTTCTGTTAAGGCAGCACTTACTACACACCATCACAGGCACCTTTCAATAACTTCAGTATATCAAGAACCTTTCTTCACTATTAAAACAGCTCTCCACCCTCTACTCCTTGTTTTGCTGTTGGGCTATTACTCACTATTTTCTGCATCCGTTCCCCCATCCCCCACGCAACTGTACAATAAAATAATTCCTTTGAAAACATTATTCTAGTTTTTGTTATTATTTATTTACAGTTTGCCTGTATTTTGTTACCTATTTAAGAACATGGTTTCAACAAAAATAGTGCTTTGCACCGTAGAAAAATAAAAAATATGAAACTGCTACTCTGATTCAGTGAAAACTGGCACTCCGTGCCAGTAATTATATATAAGGCAAAGCACATTTGCTGTCAAATTACACCTACATATTGCATATATTGCTTATCTATTACTTATCTACAAGCAATACCACAAAAGTTTTTGTCCTTGCATGACAGTGGGAAAAGGAAGAAAGGAGCATGCCTGGCCTTTTGATATAACTAAATTACAATTTGTGCACAGTCATCTCAAACCATTAATTTATACCTCGCCAACTATTTAATGATTACATAAGTTCCAATTAAGAAATTGTCTTGCACTGGAGAAAATAGGTTAAAAAAAATCTCATGAAACTTCTGAATGATGCAAGTGAGTCTCTTGTTTTTGAGTAAATATTTCATCACATTGAGAAGTAGGGAAGTTGCTTGAACCACAATGATTTTATATCCATTTGCCAAATGCTCTTTAATGACACGTGATTTGTTTCAGTTTTTTCTGGCTGTCCAGATTCTCTATTGCATTCATGGAACACAGCTCACAGCAGTGTATCGTGGACTTGAAATCACCACCCCTTGAGCAGCTCCATTATTGGTGGTGGGCCCTTCTGATAAGCCACTGTTAGAGCTCAAAAAGTGTGTTTTCTAGTGACAGGAGTAAGCTGATATACGAATGCCTGAATTTTGTAGGCTAGAAAGGATCAAATAGTAAGTTATAAAACACAATTTTCATTTTATACAGCTTTCTTAAAGAGAAAGTAAAAAAATTTGACATTATGTTAAATGTATTTTCTCTTCCACTCAAGAACGGGGGGGGGGAAGAACTAAAACCCAATAGCAATGAGAAAGAAGAAAAAAAAATTCTTAAGTCAGATGAAGACATTTTGATGCAAATTTTCCATCAGAAAACTGAGCTCTGCCAAAAAAAGTGTCACAGAGAGAATTGTCAACTTGTCCAGAAGATCTCCAATAGAAAAGTGAAGGCTTTCTCAAGATTTGGAAGGCTCCAGATTAACACTGACCTTGCTTGCTTAACCCCAACATACTCTAAAGCACACTACAAATCATTTCCTTCTCGTCCACATCCATCAAAGCCCCAGTGCCTCAAGCAAGTCCCTCCTGACTTAACTCTAATATCTGTATCAGTACCTGACAACAAGTCTTGCTTCAGATTCCTCTGGGACCATTCCAAAATTTCTAAAATAACCTTCCTGTCATTCAAGCATACTTCCTGCTTTAGGTTCAAACTCACCTTCACCTTCATTCCCACTTGACTACATCCCTCCTGCTCAAATTCAGAGGATTTACTCTACATATCTTCTCTCAAATCCTTCAGCTACCTTTGTCAGTGTGCTATGTACTTCCTAAATTTCTTATGCCACAAATGCTCCAGATGTCTGATACTCAGCCTGTACTACTTCATTACCTATTTCTTTCATCATGCTTTCCAGGTGATAGCCCCTAGTTTAAAAGCATGTGTTTTAAGTATCAGGATGGCCTTTTCCAAAGAAGTGAATGTTACTTTTGTGGTCAACGCATCATAAGTAAACAGCTCTCCCAAAATGGGAATTTGTCTTAAAGGTTTGTTCTATATTAGTCTTTTTAAATTTATTAGTTGCTTACTTTCCCCATAAAATTTTGTAATGGCAATCTTCAAGTCATAGATTTTAGGAAATAAAGTTTGAGATACACAAATTTGACTGAGGTGATCAGTTGATAGCAGTTTTCTCAATCCAAAAGTTATCTCAAATGAGTCAAGATTCCCTCTCTGTCTGTCAGCTTAACATACTTTGGTCCCCCACATTCAACTGCAGAAGCTTTCACAAATCGAACAGGTTGCAAGCCAACAGGTTCAATGCTGAGAGTGTTGTTTTCAACAGCTTCCAGAACAGCTGAGGCCAACTGCAAGAGAAATTTAGAAAGCAGTTAAAAACAGCTCGGTGTTATCCATTGCCTCAAAGCAGTGACATATTTCTTCTTCTGCAAAGTTAGGAACACCAAAAAAAAAAAAAAATTCAACTCAAACAGAAATTCAATTACAAATGAGATTTTCCTTTCATCGTGAGCAAGAGGTCCCATTTCCAGGCTCCTGTTTAAATTCTGCCCTCCAAATAACCCTGCCCTGAAGCAAGATAACTGCCTTTACAGCCAGGAATGTAGTCAAGCATGTTTAAAATGCTAACTGTATTTTCAGTCATTCTTCATAAGCCCAAACAGCACATACATTTGTACATGCAGTGCTCTTACCAGAGACTGGACATGGCTCAAACTTTGTTTCTTTAAAAAAATTGCTCTAATTTTATTGTGTTCTATGGAAACACAAAATGATGCAGCATGCTTCCTTATCTTTCAAAAAACAAGTAAATATTATGTCACTTTTTCAGCCACAGACAGCTTTAGAAAGGTGTTCGAACAAGAAAGACTGAACAATATATAGAAAAGCCAACATAATATATAGAAAAGCCAGTTGCAACTTTCAAACGCTGGTCTAGTTAAAACATCATCTTCATGAAACAAAGAGCAACTTTGCTCAAGCTTATGTTAATTCTTTATAAAGACGCAATCACAATACACTAGAAATATGCTCATTTTGCTTGATTGGACTCAACACCTGCCCAAGACTACTGTTTAAGTATGGACAAATAATAGCCATTACTTGATTTAAAAGGTGTAATTTCCATTATTAGTGAAATAATTCTGTGCGAAGGTTCCTTCCTACTGAGTAATAATTATATTTTTCTATTGTACTTTGGATATCTTAAAACCAGAATGTTACTATTAAAGTAGTTCATATGAAATACTCTTTCTCTGCCGTCTCCCCAAAGCAAAACACTACACACATACACAAGAGGTTACTGAGAGTTAATGTAATACATCAACCATTCAGATAACTGCATTTCCAACTATTCAAAAACACAATACATGTGTAGTTTGTTGTTTGGTTTAATGGCACATTATTTTATCAATATTCAAGTGAAAACAGAAGTTGGTCACTATGCACAACATCTGGAAACAGTAACTGATATAACTGCTAAGTGCTAGAAGTCTCATTCTTTCCTTAAGAGGAAATACTCATCTACAGTAATTATATCACCACTGAAGCAAGAAAAAAAACCAAAGTGAAATTGCTGGGAAAGACAACAGCACAGCCTGCTTACACTGCAGAAGCAATTTAATTCCCATAGTAACCAAGTAAACTTTTTAGTGGGAGAGGTTCATATGATGCTGTACACCAACCATAATGAACCGGCATACAAATAACTAAAAGATTGTGCACGCTTACGGCTAGCAAATAACAGTAGATGAAAAGCATAGGAAAAGAACGTAACACCACATGAAAACAACAGGTAAATGTTATTAAGAAAATACAGCGCTTTCTATGTGAGGTGTTTAATTTTATTGGGAAAAAATACATGAAGTCTGAAGGCTTTAAAATTTGTTATTTTAATAAAATCTAAGAATATGGTCTCTTTCTCCTAGAGACTGATATCACAACTACAGCCTGTAAATGCTGCTTAAGAACGAAAACTAAGTAAAGCAGTTGGAGCTGGAATCAGCTCCACATTATCCCCAGGATGGGTAAAATTCCAGTCTTTCCCCTGTATGGGAGAGTTTAATGGAGTAACACAAGGAAAAAAAAGTCTCATAATTTGTTTCATCTAAAACCACATTCCCAAACTATCCCTGTTGAATCATATCAAATTCCAAAGTCTAATTCTTGTAACTCAAACCTCTGTTCAAGAAAATGCCCAGGCTGTGCTTGCAGCCTGCTGATTGATACGAGAGAAAATTGGTCTACAAAGTTAAATATAGTGGTCTCTACTGCCCCCTATATAATAAACAAGAGACAGTGACGGGACACTATTTCTACAAAAGAGTATCTTTGAAATATCAGGAAAAAAAACCATCATCCATTCCTACAAACATCAGATTCTACCAGATAAGAGTAACATCTAAAGGAGCAGACCTAAAAAGGCCGTATCTGGAATAGCATAAATGAAACAGTGAAGAAAAAAAAAATTATAATTTCAACACTCCAGGCTATACTTCAGCACTTCACTGTAAACTGTCACACTCTAATTGAACAAAAATGGTTAATACAAAAACATTTGTAGTACATTCTATTGGCTTCATGTAACTTATTTAAGGAAAAAGCATCAGTGACCACATTCAGACTATTTCCATTACCTCACTTTTTGAGAAGGTTAAACATGGAAAAATATCTTCTCGATAAATTTTATCCAAGAAAGGACATGTTCTGTCCATAGTAGGTTCATCCTTCCAAGACCTGAATTCATTGTACAAAGATAGGTCAGCCTAGAACAGACACAGAGATTCACATATTTTAGTACTACAATTACTACACTAGTGTCTATCACTTGCAAATATCCACAGGTAAATAATGAGCATTAAAACTAAAATCTTTCCATTGTACTGTGAAAGAATGCTGTTGTGCCCCAGCTATGAACACCTTCTTAAAGCCACTTTCTGAAGACTGTAAATATAAGCAAATCAAAACGTATCATTTTCAAGACACAGAGGTAATGCATTCACTGGTCACCACAACACCAGGGACAAGCTAATTACCTCTCCTTCCTTCCCTAAGCTTTCAATAACTTAACCGATTGTTTAAAAGAAAGAAACAAAAAAGTAATTTTCTTCTTGATGCATCTTCATTACAAAACATTAAAATAGTTGATTTTTAATCTTATTTAAAAAGTACACAGCTTTGAACCAACCTCTTTCAGTCTTTTGTTCTTTCCCCATGCATTACCCCTTCTCTGAGCTCCCAGCACTTTGCCATTCTTTTACATATATATTTTTTGGGCAGTTCTTCTGTCATTTTTGGTTTGTTGGTTTTGTTTTTTTTTTCTTGAAAAAGAACCTACAAAAATTAGACTGGCAAATTTGTTTTCCATTAGAGCTACCTGCCTTACACTCAGGTACAATCAGGAACAACCATCTTAATTAAGCTAGTCCATAAATGTTCTGGTTGCTAAGCCACAAAGCCCACTGTACAAATGAAATTCAATAGGTGTAATGTGCTCCCTAGAGGAACATTTCCCATACCTTAAAACCCATCTCAGGTCTGGCTTTAAAATGAATACAATCAAGAAACAGCAGCAGAAAAAAAAGCCATTTTTTATTTGTTCTATGAGAATCTAAAAATTAAGATGCATTTCTTATTAACTCGGTTATTTTCTAGATTTAACTCAATTTCACCCAAACCAATTTATCAAGAAGCTGCCTTGAAAAAACTGCTCAGTGAATACAGCTTGATGTTCTTCCTTTGCAATCTACACTGTGTGCTACATGTGTATCTCCTCCCTGCCTTTACTTGCGCTTTCACTAGATCAAAGTTTTGATTACCTGCAATTAAATATACAGCCAATTGTAATAATAATTCTAGTTAAATTTCTTATGTTTTCATTCTACAGTAAAACATAACATCAGAGAAACATTTCAGCTCTTTGAACAACACTGCATTTACACTGAGTGGAAGCTACCTGCCTGCCTACAATCCAGGCACCGAAGGGCAACCTCACTCTGTGGCAAGAACATTTAGCAAGAAGGGAGCAGAAAAAAGACCCAGCTCCCAGAAACACAAAAACATTTCCCTTGGACCAACAATAAACAAAAGCAGTAAACAAAACCACAACGCACTGGATAACAAAAGCAGTAGGGAAGGCATGTCTCCCCTCCTTAAAACAATGTCCTAACCACCACGCCAGAGGCAGTCTTGCTTCCTTCACCCCATGTTACACTTCATTAAATACTCCTGCTCTTCATTAAATACTCCTGAGAGACAGAAAGGCTCAAGTCCCAGTGGGTGGAAAATCCATGTGTTTCATATTGATTCCCTGGGCTGTCACTGGAAAAAAAGTGTCACCTGTTTTGAGCAGCCTCAAAGTGTCTCCTCATGCAGCCAACAGAAAGGAGACTGAACTGAAGAAAAATGTCAGGCAAACTGGGCCTTCTGCAGCATGTCCTTCACATTGACCACTTTCTCTCCACAAGTAATTGAGGCAAAACAGATTTCTTACATCTCCCTCTCTTGCCCGACGCTTAAAAATGTCATTGAGTCATGACCTCGGTGTGATGCTTACAAAGTAAGTGGATTCCATCTCAGCTCTCCCCTTTTCTGAAGGGCAACAAGGATTCAATTTTAATAATGAAAACATCCTGGATACCACTGAAAGTGGGCAGGCAGTATGTAAAGCTTTTTTCTTTTTTTAAGCCTAAGTATGAAACAGAAACTGGAAAATGTCTTTATCTTCTAGATTTATAGTAAAAGGGTGTATAGTATAAATGCACTTAATGATGACTGGCAAAAGAAAGTATAAAAATGGCCACTGTGAAGCACATTAAAGATCCAGTTGGCCTGTTATCCATCTGACAATGGCCAGCAGTCACAGAGCTGGCTGCAGAGCAGTACGAGAGGGAAGACAGTGACATGCCTTCATTTCACAGCCTCTCAACTTCCAACAATCTGTAAAGAAGCTTCCTAAGCCAAATCTCATATTGATCTTCTATGTATCTTGACAGGCTTTTCTTTTGACACTTTGCATGACTACATTTTGAACATATTTATATTTTTAATCTTGCTACCTTGACAATGAGTTGTAAAGTTTCATTATGTACTGACTGAAAATTATTTTCCTTTTAGCTTTCAGAGTTTGCTTATTGCAAGAAATCATTAATATTTGTTCACCATTCACTTTCCCCATGTCACTTGTGATTGTATAAATTTTTGTTCTACCTCAAGTGTCTCTCTCTCTACACAAAAATACTTCCATAGGTTTGACCATCTATGTCTCACACTTCCTCATATTTTCATTATGTCCTTTCTGAGATGAAGATATCATAGCGGCATGCACAGACACACACATCTACTATATGTTTATACAGCAGTATAATGCTTTTTCTTTTGCTATTTATGCCTTTCCTAACAAATCCTAAGGCTCCCAGGTCTTTGACCATCACTGAGCACTGAGATGGTGTTTTCAGAGAATTATCCACAAGTACACTACTTTTTTTAATCCAGTACAATGTAGCTATTTCTAACTCCACAACTGCACGTCTACTGGAGTTGCATTTTTTTCCTAGATGCCTCATTTCTCATTTATTGATTTTTAATTTTATCTGTTGTTCTGCTAACCACTCAGTATTGTAAGATCCTTCTCAACTGTTTGGTCACCTTTTGCTACTACCATTCTAAGGACTCAAGCACAAACTTGTCGCCTCATTATTTCCCCATTTTCAATTACATGAGTAGATAAAAAAAAAATCACAAGTCCCTCTGGTACTCCAGTGGTAACTCTCCTCTTGTTCTCTAAATCATTGATTTTGTCTTCTCCCTGGCCTCTTTCACCCATTATTGATCTATAAATGACCCTTCCTCTTTTCTATGACAGTTTATAAAACATTTATGAAAGTTTATGAACTTTCGGTGATGGACTTTGTAAAGGCTATCAGGACTTATCATATAATTATACTGCACCTCTTTTTTTTTAATACCCGTATTTAAATTATTAATTCCAATATTTCAAATATCTCATCTTCACTTAATGATTTAAAGGTAAACAAGACCTGGAAAAATCACTACCTATTTGTATGCAAGAAAAATTTTCTTTCATTAATGAAAAATATCTCTAAAATAGTCAGTATTACATGAAGATTTAATATACACTAGATTTACTGTGAGCAAAACAAAACAATAAAGCCAACTTATCAGCAAAAAGAGCACAAAGAGGACAATCGTTATACTGTTACCTCTTTACAGTCTTTTACAATTGGCTGCATCATGGTAAGGTCCTGATGACTGCCACCCATAGCACTGCTTGTACTCTTGTTTCTTGCATGGCCTTTCTTAAAAGGAGTTTTTCCTGTAGACTGAAACTCTTTAGTTGGAGATGTCGGTGAAGTAGACAGTACTAGTGTTTTCAGTGCTGCTACTTCAGCCTGGAGGACATCAATCTGGGGGGGGGGGGAATAATGTCATTAACAAAAATATCGTATTAGGCTATTAAGATGTTAAATCATTTAACAAACTTTCCAGTTGTCTTGGTTCAAATCAAGACCTCCATCTTCCAACAGTACTAACACACAGATGCCTACGCAATTGCATACTGTAGTAAAACTGGTTTCCTATGCACCTTACTAACGATCTGATATGCTGAAACACCAGCTCTGTGTCCAGAGCTGTTAGCTAAGAATATTTCAAAACGACAGAAAACTTAGTATAGATTTTAATAATGTACACAGGTAATGCTCTATTTACATCTCTATAAGTCACAGTTTAGATTTCTAACCATGTGAAAAGACAAAGCAAGTCGGAAAAACCTCACCTTTCCCTGTGCTTCCTTTAGCTGTTTTTCTGCTGCAGCTTGTTTGACATTAGCTTCTTTAACCATTTTGTGTGCTTCCTATAAAGAAATGTTTAGCTAATGTAAATGCTTTACACAAATTTACAAGATCCAGTAAAACAACAAAAACTAAGGACATGCTTTTGCTTCATGGAGACTACTTGTGAATAGCAAGTTGTGCAACAGTCTGAAATTAAACAGTTACATACCAAAAAATATCTACAAATATATAATTTGAATTCATCACTGCCCCACCAAGTTTTTTCTCCTGGATCCTGAGCCCATTTTCAGAAATTCAGCAACTCCATCCACACACACCACCCCCCCAGCAGGAACGATACCTGTCATGAACACCAGGCTCCAGTCACGCTTCGGTGGCTGACAAGTCAAGTTTCTTGACCCCCAAGAGAAAGACTCAACCAGTAGCAACAAAAGCAACATGAGTACAGTAGCACATTCAAAAGAACTTCTCCCTTCTTCTAGCCAGAATAACCAGTTTCAGTCAACTGTAAATTTCTGCATGAAGGAACCGGTCAAACAACTACGAAGTCTGAATCCTTACCATCAATAAAATAGACACAGCAACAGTTTAAAAAACAGTTTATGGATTAATAAGCATTTCCTAAATAGAACAGAAAAAGCACTAAAAAACAATCCAAGTAAAGAAACAAGGCTAAGCAAATAAAGTAGAAAGCATAAAAGGACTGGGAATTTTTTAAACATCTTTTTACCTTGTACCTCTAAGCCTTTCATCTGTGTAATATATTTGTTTAGGCTCTGATCCAGCAATTTGCGCCTGTGATCAAATTACATTTCTTGGTACTTACTGAAGGCAACAACGATTGAAAGATCAGGGCCAGCGACTAAATTACTTAGGCTAGGATCCTTTTCATATCTGTAAAGCGCCTAGCATGTATCTGGACACTATATAAATATAACAAAAAATGTTCATACATCATCATACCAAAAGATTTGGCTCCCACTGGCATACAACACAGCTGTTGGTAAAATTCTCTTAAGTAACAACAGACACATGCAGGAATGGGAACATACACATTTATACAATGTGTACAAATACATTTAACATTGACCATGCAGTTTCTGCTTAGTGATGCACTTTTGAAAGCAAAGCATGTAACATTGCTATTACAGTGTAATAATGTAATATATACACCCAGCTGTGCAAAACAAGTCTCAATCCTCCACTGGGATGCATTAATATAAACTCCAGCATATCCATTATATGGTCACTGAAATTAGTGGGATTCAGAACAGAACATGAATTCGAGGGCTGTAGATCCCAGTGCAAAAATCAAGAAACTTCAACACTGTGTTTTGTTAGGGCTTCTTAGTGAAATCAAATCATGAAAGAAAATACAAGTGACATGCCTAATTAAAACAATTTTTACTAATATGCTGTATTTCAAACATAGCTTTAACAAACTGATACATTGTTCTAAGTTAAAGTGTCATTAATATAAAATTTCACTGATAATTTTATTTTTATTCCTCTACAGTTAAAATACCGGCCCCACATTTTCCTCTCCCCCAACGTACACAAGTATTTATGCTAAAAAGTACCTTTCCAGTCTCCCATTTATTCACACACAGGAACTGCTTAATATTTTAAGTAACTCTGCCCTACTGGGATGATGAAATAAAATACGTTGCCAAACCACAGAGCAGTTTGTAGTTTGATTTTTGAATGTCAGTATTTTCAAGGTGTTAATAGCACTTTTATACTAACACAACATCACAGGCTTAAATACTGTTTCTAAAACATACCTAATGTTGTATCTTTATATATATGCTGAAAGCCAATACTTAAGATTTGGTAAACACAGAATCATAGAATGGTTTGGGTTGGAAGGGACCTTGAAGATCATCTCGTTCCAACCCCCCTGCTGCAGGCAGGGACACCCTCCACTAGACCACGTTGCCCAAAGCCCCATCCAACCTGGCCTTGAACACTTCCAGGGAGGGGGCATCCATAACTTCTCTGGGCAACCTATTCCAGTGTCTCACCATCCTCACAGTGAAGAATTTCTTTCTAATATCTAATCTAAATCTAACCTCCTTCATCTTAAAGATATAAATCATATCTGGATTATGAAATTTATTCTGACAGTTGCGGGTATCACAATTTAGCCTCTAGGCATTCCTATATATATTCCTATGATAAAATGAGACCTGATCCTGCTTCAAGTATGGATTTAAGATTTTTTTTCTGTGTAATATAAGAATCTTTGCTGGCACTACTGCCATTTTCTCAAATGAAAAGGTCCCACTCACAGTTCACGCTTCTCACTCGGTAGCCATGTTTCACCCTGGTGCATCACTCAGTATTAATGTTTCTTTTCAAGTTTGTGGGAGTAGCGTGCTGCCAGACCCAAAATGCAAAAGCTGAAAACATGATTAAGTTACATACTTGCTACCTCCATTGATCTGGAACTACATTATTTTATTTAGTCACCATGGCAACCCCAAATTTGGCTCTTTATCTAGATAGCCTTGTTGTCAGACAGAGAAGCTGTCTCAAAATAGTTACGCCAAAAAATAACCCTAAACAGTTTTAAGCTTTCTGATATATTTTCCTTATTTTCTTCATTTTGTACCTAGACAGATTGACAAGCTCAACAAGGTCTCTTTCATCTAAGTGAAAAGTCTACTGCTTGCTCTTAAGCCTCTACTTCAACACATCCGGGTCTTCAGGACACAAATCCCTTTATAAGCTTATTGCAGAAAAATTCAGCATACAATATACTGATTCTACATAAAACATCTAGCTCAGCTTCCTTTAAGTATAATCACATCGAAGACTCCAACAAACCTCAAACAGACTAGCTGTAAGTTCTTCCAATTCCTGTCCAAGTTGATCTCGTACTTTAGAAAGCCTTTCACATTCTTCATCTTTTAACTTCAGCTCCTATGGAAAATTGAAAGTTATTTATTCTGACTTAGAGTAGTAATTTGGCCTTTTAAAGCTAATACCACAGAGAGGGGGGAGAAAAAGAACAAAAATAATCAGAGGAACATAAAACCTTTGCTAAACAAAACCTTTCAAAATATTAATCTTAACACTAGAAGCAATTAAATTACTGCTGACACATAAATAGCTATTCTTCCTGCTATACAGCAATGTACCAGGCCAATCTAAAGTATCTCTACTCCAGATATCAGTGTATCTAAAATACTCTGAAGTAAAAAACCCCTTTTTTCCTGAAAGTACAGAAGACTTAAGTCACTTAAAATATAGACCAAATTAATTCCTGGGACAGACAGAATACCAGTTCTGTTTACCCATTCCTTAATAGGCACTTAAAGAAAGTAATGTTTAAAAAAAAAAAAAAAAAAGCTTTGTCTTAAGACAATCCCCAATTCTAAAAGAATCTTAAAACATATTTTACTATAATTTCTCCTGCATATCTCCTTACAACTAATACAATTCCAAAACCATACTGTAATTATATCCTGGCTCTTGTTTATGCAGATATATAAATCAAAGCAACTTAATGAAATTCAAAACGTTATTTGTCTACACCACTGAAATTTGAGTGAAGGCAGCCTGATCATAACACCTTTATGGTAAGATTTTAACACAGATTTGGCAGTAGAAGGGTTACATATGCCCTATCTCATCTGTATTTTCCTAAGTCTGAGGGAAAAGTAGGGTAATTTTCAGAGAAGTAGAAAAAGTTTGACAAGGAATTTGAAAGAAGGGATACTGTCCGCCTTTCCCCACCATTAAACCCTGGAATCTCTTGCAAGAAAGAGAAGGATAGTGAGAAAAAGGAAGGGAAAGAAAAGCAGCAGACGGCCCACTTTAACCTTTCAAACATTTTTTGGGGGGGCATAACTTGCTTCACATCCCCATCTAGTTCTTCCTCCTCCTCTTTTCCCCCGCCAAGCTAGCTATTACACTACCATGGCTCCTGAAATGCAGGACCCAAGCCTGTCACCGACATGTTAAAGACTCCAAATACAATCTAGCAATGCTTTGCTTTGATGACCTCCAGAAACCAGTAAAGAAAACAGCTGCCTTCAGAAAACTCTGGGAGGCCAGTCACTACAGTCATAAAAAGGTCCAAATGGCAGCTTCCCTTGTGTTTCTGGGAGGTGGTTAGTGTTTCTCCCAAACTCTTCATGATTAATGTTGTACACAGCAATGTGGGAAACTACATCTTGCTTTGTAGCATGCTGATAGTAGCTCTCAATTTCTGCAGTGAAACTGGTAATAGATTTTCCTCTAAGATGAAGGGTCCTCTTTGACTTCAGCTCCTAAATTCGACAAGTGTTTAAGGACTGTTCTAAACTCATTTAGTATCAAAGGCATTATTTCTCCTTTCTTTTATTTGGTTTTAACTTTGGACATTTTGATTGATTTTTAGCCTAGTTTGTTTCCTATTTTGATTTTTTTTTTTTGCTTTCCATATGCAACCTTTTAACTCTTTTGAAAGGTACCACTTAAATGATAGGTTTTTTTCCAAACATGGTATTTCTCAAATAGTAGTCAACTCTTACTTGCTAGCTACTATTCTGCAAACAGTTACCTCCTTCTCTCCCTCTAAAAAAAAAAAAAAACCACACAGGAAAATAGCTACAGATGGAAGAGAAGGAAAAAGGAATACAAAAAGCCAAAGAAAAAAAATACTGGAAAAAAGAGGGGGTTAAAAAAAGAAAGAGAAAACAAAATTTCATTGTGTTCAAGTATTTCCCATATAAAGTATGGTTTCTTAGTAAGGAAATCAAAGATTCTGATGCAAAATGCTTAAAGCTCAAGTTTCATGCGTTCCTATAAACACAGAGGATACATCAATACATTTCTTTTGGTTTACATCACTGATTTGTAAGGAAAATGCAACATAAACATAATACATCTTAAAAAGGAAGTTATATTAATATTCAGGTCAAGGGTTATCAAACTCACAACGAAGGCAGAACTACCCCAGGTTCATTTTTGGGCTACCACTATCAATACACTATTTTAAGTAAGATGATTACAGTTTTGCCTACAACTGGAAAGATTTGGGGGGGTTAGATTAAAAATTAGGCAGACAAGTAAAGCTACTTAATGAAAACAAAAAGGAGACAACACCAAGCAGTCTACTATGCATGGCTGCTTAGCTAAATTTGTCAAACACTGGGGAAGTTTCCATTACATGATTCAGGAGGAGCATAATATAACACGTTATTTTGCCAAGCAAAAGTTTAAAGCTCAGGTTTTTTAAGCAGGGCGGAAATGAAGAGTGCCCAAAGCAAAAAGCTTAGCAGTTATTAGAAACATTACTACTGCCTGCGTCTTAAACACATTACTGCAGACTTCCCATCAATACACTATACAGAGGCAGAAAAGACAAGTGCGTTGCTAGACTAACTATCCATGCTGCAGTCCTTCCCACATTGCTGTTCCGAAAAAGTAACTACTTTAAGAAGATGAGCCATTATAAAGTACAACACACACAGTTACCAAAGTAGGTAATAAAAAAAAAAATTAACTTGCGTTGAAAAAAACCCTTAAAAATCCTTTATCAAAGAGTCATATTAATGCTTATTTCACTTTGATCTTCACACTACAAGATGGGTCTTTAGAAAGAACCAGTGACATAAGGAATGCAAATTTCTGCTTTAAAACCATTCATATTTTAAATTCTAGAAAGAAAATCATCCTGAATCTAGTTCAGCAATTTCACTAGGTCAGAACTAGATGCAGAAGATAAAGGAAAAAGCAAATATTTTCTACAGCTATCATCTAAAATCAGAACTGTGGGATACTGCTAAATTCTGAAATTGTCAAAAAAGTTTGTATTTACATTAGAATATATTTCTATTTGCCTGGTCTTCACTCAGCACCCAAGTTAAACAAGCTACTGGTAAACTGATAAATGTGGTTGCAATGCACAAGAGTGTTTAATGTGAGAGAAGGTCCAGAATATCTTTTCAGATAAGAGCATTTCGCAAACTATTGAATTATCATCTTACAGTGTAGGTGAAGATGCTCGTGGGTTTTGCATGCATAAAGTCTTCTACTTGCCTGAGAAAATTTCTATGCCTACAATACACTACAACAGCATCAGTCAGAGGTGTGGAAACTGAAAACTTTCATCGCTGCAAGGAACTGCTATAAAACATCTTGAGAGAATCAACCCATCTTTAACAATCACAAGCCAGTGACCTTACAATTCAGCTACAATTTGTTTTAGAAAACCTTGAAAGCATAATCTTCAGTGACGTTCTGGGATGGTATATTATTCTGGAGCATCCTCATTTTAATTGTTCATTAACTTATAAGCAAATGGCAACAGAAATTTAAGAATGCTGAATGTACTGTATAGTACTACTAGAATGCCTGGATAGTCATTATGAATCTATTCATTAATTCATGCAGAGTTTTTAAATGTCATGTTTTACTGTGAAAAAATAAAGAGATTTAACTGTCAGTGTTAGCCTGCACAGAAACACATATAATGGCAACGGCCTCTGTTATATTAGATTCTTTGATGATACAGGCAGAACAATGAGAAAAAAAATCTACTTCAAATCCTGTATCAGCACACAAGATCTGAAGACAAAAGATCAAATTGTAACACTCTGTTTCTGAGATGAAGAATGCATACATAAATTGAAGCCTTTGAAAGAAAAATCTAGATCTGAGGATCAGGTTCTTAAGCTATGTTGAAATTTACAATACCACATTCTATACTATCACCTCTTTCACAAGAATCACTGTATCGGTGTGGAAAAAACCTCTCAGTTTCACTCTACTAGGAAAATATCAGTAATTCAGATTTCTACTACAAAAACTCAAACCTGGTTTCACTTGTTACCAACAAGCCTACAAATCTTAAAGACCATGGGAAGCATGGAATTCCTTCTCAAACCAAACACAGCATTTGCAACCAACATCTCTGGTAGATTGCTCTTTGCTCATAAGAGAAGGGGGCTAACCATCAGTGAGAGCTGGTAATTTCAACACTTCAAGAGAAAACACACCTACACAGAAATCTAAGTTTCCCTCTGCAGTCATGGATGACATCATTATATTGACAGTCTGACTGATGAGGAAATAACCTCAGGGCCAAATCACACAAAAATTCAAGGAAACATGGCTATGAACTGCCACAGCTTAGAAACTACAAGCGAGCTATCCAAAACACATGCAACATGCTGGTGAATTAAGATGAAAAGCAAACAAAAGGTATTCCTTTGCAAGGACTCCACTAAGCTTGCACATCAAGAAATACCATATATCAAAATACCATCACTATTCTCTCAGATGTTGTCTACAGGTTGATCCACCTTCAGTAACTGCAGTGACACAGCTCAATCCATACATGGCAGAAAAAATGCAAATGCAGTGAGACATGAGGAGATAAGGTCCCAGGCATTGAATCACTAAGCCTTTTAACACCTTCTCAGTTTTCCTTATGCTGCTTTAAAAGGGTAGCAAAACAAGGAGAAAGGTTCAGATCATCTAAAGCAAGGGCTCTTCAGCTCCAGTTCACAGAATATAGCCAGAAATTAAGTCTTCAGTGAAAAAGGAAAAATTACCTGAATGGTCTCAAAGAATGAAAAGTCTATGTCATTTTAATTAAAGGGGCATTTTAAGGCAAAAGTACGTCCAATCGTATATGCTCCATTAGCATATAATGCTGCCCTGCTGTTATCTCCGACCCAACCTTTCTCCCAATCTCATTACGTGATTTGGTGCCGCAACTGATCTAGACTGAAGTAGAAGGAATATTTCCTCTCATCAAGAAACAAATTTTTTTAAAAACTTTTTTTAACAATTTTGCCAGCAATGCTGTTCATTTTGAGAGGCCTGTAGTCTTAAGAAATACAAGGCATACACAAAGGAGAAAAAAAAAATCTTTATTCTATTCCTGAATAATTTCTTCAAGAACCATACTTAAATGTCTAACAATTACATACCATACATACATTTTCTAATATAAAAACTGAGAGTATATTAAGAAAAAAATTGCACTCCAAGCAGACACATAAAAAAAAAATTACATGGTGGAGCCCTACGGTTCAAAATTCCTATTTCCTTTCTAGTTCCCTTTCTGATCACAACTGCAATAAATTCAAACCAATCTTTAATGCATATCACAATAGCATAGAGTTTGGGTAAGAAATTTGGAACAAATGAAAAATGTTAGAGAGCAAATTTGTGTTTATTTTGTTCACTCCTGGAAAGTCTGTAGTCTGTAAGGTTTCCAGGCTCAATGAACTCACAAATTCAAGTGCAAATTGTAATTCTCATTTTTCTCACTGTTCCTAATAAACAGCACAGAGGCTTACAGAGAATTTAAAACCATTATGCAAAAAACAACCAGCTATACACAGGCACTACCTATTAATGATTTCCCTAC